GACCCTCATGGAGCCGGTATTTCCAACATCACACAACGCTGGCTAAATACTGAGCTGAGACCAATATATTTAACACACATCACGATGCATTGCAGAAACGGTGATTTACTGTATCTTACACATCTCTCTCCATCTCTTTAGCATACAATATATTTCTCCTATGCTTATAGAGTATTATTCTTTAGAAATGTGGGTATAAATAATTTAAAGATATTCCAGCGTTCATAATTTAGGAAGACGTTTTTGGTCATCTTACAATCTATAAATTTCTGCATGAATGGAATAATCTCTGTAAGCATATAGACCAGGAGAACAGAATCTAAGACGGGCCTGCGTGCCTATGTTTTCACCCTTTGAAAATAAAGTTCGTTCGATCCTTACTGTCATTATCAATTGGTACGTATTCAACTCACAGGGTTATAATTGGGATACTTAGTGTCACCTGAGTTCTCAAACTTTATATTTGTTGTTTTATATTTATAAATCATGTAATTATTTATAGGACCGATATGTAGTTTGATTTCATTGCTTTGATTTGGGTTGTGATTATGATAGAAAGTATACTGTGAATAACTAGTTAATCTTACTAACATTATATCATTTTCGAGTGCTTAATGCCCCAACTTTGTATTATAATTGAAACGAAGACAAGATATACATTTACACATCGGGGGGGGGGGGGTTAAGAGCCCGGGGGGGGGGTTGAGAGCCTGGGGGGCATTAATTCAGTCTGCATTCACCCATGGTAGAAAATAAAAACTACAGGCCATGGCGACGATGGCCCTGGGTCACCCTCTAAGACAGTAAAACAAATGACGAGTGCTATATAAACCTACATCCACATAACCGAGTCACCGCCTTCAAGTGGGGATTAACAGGGGGATTAGTTCGGGGATGCTAAATTCGTTTTTCTTTGTCACGCGGAGCTGGTCGCAAATGTCATATCTTCAAAGCAAGTCCGCACAGGGTAAGCCAGTACAGGTAGGCAGAAGATAGAATTACCTGAGGGGAATGAAATATGTACCTGTTCGTGTTAGATATCTAAGGCAACGAGTTAGGGATTACATGGGTGATGTCAAAAAATCGGTATTATGCAAATATATTCATAATTAAAGTTGTGTTTACTAAGAGCGTGTATAAACTTAAATATTTGAGTTCAAGAAATGTCGACAATTTGAGTTTTCTCCCCTCTCTACAGGACTACAGTCTGTCGGATATTAACACAATGGCGACCGTTTCGCTTACGTCCTTCTTTTTTGTTATTTGAAGCCAGGGGCCGCAATATAGGCAGGCCATCAATATGGCCAATTGTCTGAACGCGGTTTCTGGGACCTCTCCACGGTGATCCTCATCCGCATGGTGGCACTTTGTGTCATCGGGTGTTTATCGCTTGTGTGATGTCCTGGTGGGGTAGAAAGTCAGTCAGTCAGTCAGTCAGTCTGTCAGATTAATATTACTTTATTGACTTTTACAAGACTGACTGGGGAATCGAACCCCGGTTTTCAACACCAGTAGAGTAATGGCTTTTTTCTGCACCACAGTAGCCCATCTACTCGAGTTACCCCCGCCCAGAAAGCGACTCAAAGAAAGTGGGCGACACTTGACAAAGATATCTTATTAAATTTTCCACGAAGCCCGTGACGTTTCGGAGTACAGCTAGCCTTACACTTGTAGTCCGCGACGTCCCAGGTGGTCGGTCATTCAGTCTCCTAGATCACCAGCTTGAGGACGAGTTCCACAGACGTGACCTGCCTGAATATCCGAGGGACGGTCGACAAACA